CGCGATTTTTCAAACTCTGCAAACTGCTGCAAGATTGCGAATATTTTTCACACTGTTACAGCTTTTTAAATTTTTATTCACGAACTTACCTACCACCACCGCTACCCGCAGAAGACGGAGTGCGAGAAATGTGTTCTCTAGACATTTGAGAAGGTGTTCGATGTTTCATATCCAAATAATGTCCTTCAGTGTCCTGTAGTCTAGGGATGAGCTCGCCGTAGTTCAAATGAGAATCTAACACAACTGTACCATCTTTCCTCAAATCGGCAGCCTGTGAAGTACAATTTTAATAGATTTTATGTCACTATTAAGGAGTCGTCAACATATTGCGTCATGCTCGTAGGGGGAGGCGGGGAGGGGAGGCTGGTTTGACGGTCTGTGACGTGGAAAAGGGAAAAGGGGGGGGGGAGTGAAAAAAGTGTCCGAAACCCCTATTACGGCGCCCGTGTCCCCAGAATGACGGTGCCCGTTCGACAGCTCCCTCGGTTCAGGACGGGGCCGCCGCCGCCCCCGCTACACACGCCTGCTCGGCGGGATGGCCTACCCAGCCCGTTGCAGGCGGTCTCCGGTGGCATCAGCACGCTTTAAGTCGAAGGAGGACTCCACCCCGCACCGTTATAGTGTTTGCTTCAGGGAACTACTTCATTGTAGGAAAATCTTTTCATTATGTTCACAATCTCGATACTCGGAGGTTCAAAGATACTTAAATGGCATACTTACCAGTTGTCCCACAAATGCCAACGTGCAGACGAAAACCCAATAGATTAAGTTGGTGTACATGCAGTACACAATCATAACAGCTCCGTACGAATATGGTTCGAGTAGAGAACTTTGTTTAATTGGATCAAGAACAAGTGAAAAAACAAGAACAGTCTGAAACACAAAATAAAATTAAAATTTCCCCCTTTCAAAATTGCAAGATATTGAAAATTGTGCTGAAACCACTTTGAACATTCCAAGGAAAACGAATTACTCACGAAATCGTCACGGATGTCACAATGACAACATGACCTTTTTGACGTTAAAAGAGACCTCACATGTGCTAACGCGTATCCTCGCAAGTCACAGTGAGGTAATCGAGAAAAACGTTTTCTTTGAGAGTCTTTGCGTTTCGATTCTTGTGTTCTATCCACTGCAATACGATAAATGTTCACCGCATTTATGGTACCTTCAAGACAACGAGAAGCAATGGGGTGAGAGTGGTGATGAGCAAAGATCGCCAAGCCTCCTCTGAAGGTGGGTGTTTCGTGCAGTAGATGGCAATGCAACGAGCAAGTGAACACATTTTAGCTCGTTTTTGAACAACCCTGGAACATTATCGAAAAACGTGCATTGCATCTTTTGGAGTTAGTTCTTACATTCATGTTCAAAGGGTAAAACGGAATACCATAGTCTCTCTGCTCCACGCAAACACATCATTACGAGTGACTCGAAGGTCAAGAAGCTCACGATGCGGTGGACGAGGTCCAAGGCGTGGTATGGTACTTCAAGTAATATGAAAGACAGGACTGCTATAATTTGCGCTATAGAACACCCGAAAGGGCTGTTGACCAAACACACACGTGTCAGTAAGCTAGACGAAACTATTAAAAATTCAAATATGAATGCGTTTTCAAACGATTCCCACCTTGGGTGACACGGCCAGCCATATACCGGAAGTACGCCTAACAACATTGCTGGGTAGCTCAATAACTTCCACAAAAGAATCGTTAATCTTCTAGCAGAACAGTGCATTGTTATTGCTTCTGGGGGAGGAAAAAATAAATATGAAATTTTGGACAGCTAGTCACGGCACTACATACATATTTTGGCGCCCAATGGGTAGGCAACCCAAGTGGCACCGCCGTCCTGCGTGAGTGAGTTTACATAACAGAGAGCGGCAGCAGGCGAGTAAATTGGCCAATTTCACGAATTTCAAGGAAAAAATAAGAAAATTTTCACACTTGTGGAAAAGACTCATCAGTTAATTGGTAAAATTGTTGTGCAATGACATCGCTGCCAGTTAGTCATCAGATTGATGTAAAAGTAACTTTGACATCACACTGATAAATTTTTGACGCTGTTCGGTCACTATTTTATCAATTTGATGTCAAAAGTATATCAAATTCCAAAATCTGAAATATGTCATGGCCACAAAGCGGGAGTGATGTCCAGTACTACAATTTGACCAATTATTGATGAATCTATGTCACTTCCCCTGAAGCGCCTAGTCATTTTAGAGCAAAAAAGATATCACATTTAAAGCGCGTCGCCACATTAAAATGTGTCATCTTTCTGTGCATTGAATCAGGTAAGGCGAATAAAAAGTGCAATAGGCGCTTCTGGAGTTGGGCTAAAGAGATGGCCTACAGGTAATTGGAGTCGAACAGCCGGAGGCTATTTTAACTTGCGCATGTTTATCTCTACTCCAGGTCTGACCGCCACACACGACCTGCGGGACTAAACTGATTCAAGGCGTGGGCAACGGCTCGATAGAACAAACAACCACCCCTACGCTC